GAGTCTTGGAACATTTGCTACCACTCCTGGGATCCAGAGGAAGACTGCAGCTCAACCACTGCAATCACCACTTCTGACCAGACTGCAACAGCTCTCCCACCAGCAGGGTTTTTTTCCCTCTCCCTTTACTTTGGTCTCAAGTGGGGCCCAAGGAACACCACTTTGTTCATGCCCCAGGGTACTGGGTTGTACATGTGGGTTTTGTGGGTTGAGACCAATTGTTTGTTTGTATGATTGTATTTACTGTATTATTTTAATAAATTGTTATTCTGACTTATAATCTCTCCTTTGAGTTGGGTTCATTTCCCCTGCTGGTTAACTCTTAAACCAGCACATTAATTTATTGATCTATCCAGTGTAACGATTTTTATATGTATTCTCACGACTTAACTTTTGGATTTTAAATGGTGACTGTAAGGATTTTTATTTCTATTTAATTTTCTCTGAAAATACTGCTACTAATAGTAAATAGCAGCAGTAGTTTAGCAGGGGTGCTGTCAGACAGCTTACAGACCTAAATGGTGATTTCTTGATAATTTCACGTTGATGGAAAAAATCTCCATGTAATTGATGCTCACATTTTGTGTCAGAGAGGAAGAATCTGTTGTTTTTAGTAAAGTAATTTTAGAATTATTATTTAGCCCATAATTTTAGAAGAAGCGAAATACATTTCAGGTCATCCTTGGTGAAATTTGCCTTATCTGGATAGTGATCTCTGTTCCTTTTGTAAAATCTTTTTTCTCAGTTTCTGTTTCTTTTTCTAGACCGTAGCAAAGCTGAGATGGATCTGAAAGAACTGAGTGAGTCAGTCCAGCAGCAGAGCACTCCTGTGCAGCTCATCTCCCCCAAACGACAGATCCGGAGCAGGTTCCAGCTGAACCTGGACAAGACAATAGAGAGCTGCAAAGCACAACTTGGTAAGTGTGTCCCTCAAGAACACAGTGGGCATCTGAAGGATACACTTGAAAAAAAATTCTGAAATGGAGGTTAAAATAAGTTTTGGACTAGTAAAACCTTAAATATTTTATGTGTTAAAAGAAGAGTAGATGAGAAGTGAAATTTTTGAGGCAAGTAGAGTGCACTGAACTAGTTTAAAACACAGAGAGACCTGATGTTTCAGATTTTTGGTAGCAAGCTTTCATCTTTTAATCTGTTTTTGTACCATTCTGATGTAGGTAGCATGACAGGATTATACTCTTACTATTTGCTTTGTAAACTGAAAAATTGGAGAATTGTACCCAAATTCTGTCAGCTGCACAAATTAGGATGTAAGTAAGTAACTGTCATCAGGTAAATGGTATTAGTGATTTTTAAGGTGGTTTTCTTGTGGATAAAAAATAAGTCCTCTTTGCATTTGCCAGCATTGGGTCCTGAGTTGAACAAAAGAGCTTGCAGGTGGTGGAAAAAAGCAGTGAAAGAAGGGCTATTGAATGAAATACAAATATTAATTGGAGTATGTGGAGATTGATTCTTACACATTGTGGTACTGAGACAGGGCACTAAGTTTGTAGCTTAAGGACTGAGAGTTAAGGTAATGGTATGTGCACACTTTGTTCCAGCATATGGAGTATTTTTTTTTTGGTAATTTCAGTCAGTCTGATGTCAGCATGGAATGTACTTTCCTTCCCACAATTAGGAATAAATGAAATATCTGAAGCTGTTTATACTGCAGTAGAACACAGTGACTCTGAAGATTCTGAAAAATCCGACACCAGTGACAGCGAATACAGTGATGAGGATCAGAAATCAAAGAATGATCAAGAAGATGGTGAGGACAAGGAAGGTACAAGAAGTGACAAAGAATCATTGAGCTTGAAAAAAAAACCTAAGCCCCCAGCACAGAATGAAGACAAGGAGGAACTTAAAAGCACAAGTCCAGAAGTGGAGAAAACAGAAGAACCGGTCAAGGAAAAGTCCATTTCAGACACTGAAAAAGAATTTTCCGAAAAGGGAAAAGGTTTACAGCATCCTGCAAAAGAAAAGCTGAAAGGTAAAGATGAAACAGACTCTCCAACTGTGCATCTAGGACTGGACTCTGATTCTGAGAGTGAACTTGTCATCGATCTAGGAGATGATCATTGTGCTCGTGAAGGAAGGAAAAACAAGAAAGAATCTAAAGAACCTTCTCCCAAACAAGATGGTAGGATGAAATTCTTTCCTTCCTTTTTTTTTTTTTTTTCTCCTGTTCTGTAGGGCTAAGACAGAATTGTTACCTTTATTCTTGCATTTAGATAAAAATTTGTACTAAAACAATTTTCAGGAATAATCTTTCATTCTTTGTGACTGTGAAAAAAGGGCAGGACCCGTCACTTGGCCTTATTGAACCTCATGCTGTTGTCCCCAGGCCCTCAGTCCAGTCTGTCAAGATCTCTTTGAAGAGCCTTCCTACCCTCAAGCAAATCAACATTCCCACCCAACTTGGTGTCATCTGCATTTGGTTGTCAGTGCCAGTTCACCATTGTTGAGAAAGTTTTTAGTGCCCTATTCCTTCCCTTACTGTTCAGTCATTGATACTTTAGAATGCATTTTTCTCCTGATAGAAATTGGGACGACAGGTGTAAATGGTAACCCAGAAACATCCTATCAAGTGCTAACCTCTCACATAAATTCAGAGGAGGTCAGGCTGGTTTTTCTGGATTTTGTACTTTTTGTTTTGCTTTGCTTAGTTACTGATGCATCTGAACTGCCACCACCTTCAACTAGGCTGAAATGACTTTACTTGTAGTGTATCAACAACTTTTGAGGAAGTTAATTCCAAGCCAGACTGGAATGGCTCTTCCAAAAAGAAGATGGAGAGCCACCAATCAGATGTGTTTGTGAAAAGCTGGTGTAACATTTTATGTTTGTTTAGTTGTAGGTAAAACTCCACCCTCCTCCAGTGCAAGCACTCAGCCTCTACCAGAAACTCCAGTCCTCACCCGTTCTGCAGCCCAGACCCCCCCAGCTGGTGTGACAGCAACCACGAGTGCTGCTTCCACTGCCAGTGCTCCATCTGCAGCCACAGGGAGCCCTGTGAAAAAGCAGAGGCCTTTGCTGCCCAAGGAAACTGCCCCTGCTGTGCAGCGGGTGGTGTGGAATTCTTCCAATAAATTCCAGACATCTTCTCAGAAATGGCACATGCAGAAGGTACAGAGGCAGCAGCAACAGCAGCAGAGCCAGCAGGCTCAGTCACAACAGCCTCAGTCCTCTCAAGGGACAAGATACCAGACAAGACAAGCAGTTAAAGGTACACACTTTCTAACCCAATGTGCCTGTGGTGCCTTAATTCCCCAGTAGTGATCTCAGTGCTCCAAGGCTGCCCAACCAGGAGTTCTTCCATATTAACAAAATCTCACAGTGTGGTTCTACTCTGATAAGTTACTTTAAAATACAGCAACTTACTCACCTGCTCTTTCTGGTGTGTATTTAGAGTCATGTCTCTTTATTTTAATGAGAGAAAACTTGTGTGTGTGTCTGTGTAAATATTTTTTGCTATTCTTAGCCATCAGAGATTTGGAAGAGTGAACTGAATTAAATTCTGGACTGTAAGATAAAACCATTAACTGTTCCACTTGCATGTTTACCACTCAGTATGTACAAATTGCTTCCAGTTTTATCTGACAAGAAGCTGATCTGAATGGTTTTTCAGAGTATAATTTGACAACAATGAAATTACCCAGGCTCTGTTTGTCTTTGAAATCCCTGTTGTTTAACAAGACTTTGATGGTAGTTTACTGAACAAACAGCCCTGGAAATTCAGACTGTTTTCTCAACTGTTTTCTTACCATCCCTTTGCCTGAGGTTTCACTAATAGCAGGCACAGGGTAATACAAGCCCATGCTGCTGTTGCTTCACTTCACAGAACAGCAACTTTATGTAAATTAGCTCCCCTTGTAATTTCAAGTTAATAAAGTGAAATGTTTACTGCTGTGCCTGATGAATAGACATTCTCCCCTCTGCTAAAACCACTGGCATGCTGGTGATTTCATAGAGAAGAGAGGTTTAGGTAATGGCTCACATACAGATGTTTATCAGAGGCTCGTTTCTCTGGTCCCTTCTGTGTCTGCCATTTAAGCAGGGTTGAGGAAGTGGTATCTTCCTACTTGCAGACTGCACAAATTTGATACAGAAAATATTCAGTGAGGAAAAAGAAATGTGAAACTTGGTGAAGTCTTATTTTTAATAGAATCATACTTTCATTCACACCTTAATAATATGGAAATGTCGAAGTCTAACTTATATGTGTGCTATTAGTAGGGAGTTTTCCAGATTGAAAAGTTAGGGAGGGGCTTCATAAGGAAGTGGGATAGAAAAGTCCCAAGATGGGAGGAATACAGAACTGAGGAAGACTTTTGCACTGGCCAGTCTGAAATCATAAGTTTCAAAGTTACATTTGCTTTATTACCTTCAAGCTTTGCAATTATGTACAAGTTCCATGGCTGGGCACTGTATAATTAATCATTAGGTGGCACCACTGTATAAGTAATGCAAGTCTGAAATGGTTATGTGCACACAGTTTGATATTGAAGGTAGAAGTTTTCCCGTTTATTTTCCTAATTTCTTACGTGATTGATCCACTCAATGTTCTCTTTTTTTTTTTAGCTGTGCAGCAAAAAGAGATCACCCAGAGCACTTCCACGTCCACTATAACCTTAGTCACAAGCACTCAGCCTATTTCTATGGTTACCAGTTCTGGATCTGCAAGTACACTTTCTTCCTCACTAAACACAGACCTGCCCATTGCAACAGCTTCAGCTGATGTGGCTGCAGATATTGCTAAATATACCAGCAAAGTAAGTTCCTCAGTAAGGTTTCCTTGAAATTTGATTTTGAAGCGAACTAATTCTGAAATAACTTTATTTTCAGGTTGTCATATGTTGCAAATTCATCCTACTAGGTAGGAACAGCCAGGTTTTGGTGAGAGTGCAGAACTACATATTTAGACCTGGCTTAATGCTGCCATTCCAAGCCAGAGGGTGTGAGAGGGGCTTCAGCTGCTCAGGCACTTCAGACCCTCTCCTTCCCATGTTCTGCTGCTTCTTATTTATGTTACATTGTGGTTTGGAGCATTTTCTGTGTTTTCTCCTAAAGGTGTAGATGTTCCCCCAGCATCATATTTACAGCAAACAGTATTTTGTCATCTGTGTTCAGCAGAACATAAACAGAGTTGTACTTTTCTTTTAAAACACTGTATAACTTCATCAGTTGGTAACTTGTCATAAATGTGTGTCCCTGCATTAAAACAGACACTAAGTGTTAAAGAGAAGGGGTGGTGTAGTACTTGTGTCATGACAGTGACAGTGAGGGAGGAGACACTGGCTTTCCATATAGTCCCTTAGATCTTTAAATTAAAAAAAAAATCAATGCGAATACTATGTATTTTTACATTGCATTTCTTTCCCCAGTTCATGGTTATATATTTTTTATTCATAAATTATATCAGTAGCAATTTCTTAGAAAAGTAGAAAGTCAAGCAGTTCACCAGTTTAGGATTAAAAATCAGAGTCCTGCTCAAAAATATTGTGTTTTACCTTCTACATAGTCCTCTAAAAGTAGACCCAGATAAATATATATATATATATAAAGATAATACATTGTTGATAGCAATAGAAGCTCACATTAGAGTGGTTGAAAGGAAGTGAAAGTGGGAATCTATTAAAAATATATATCAAAGAATTATTTTTTTCCTTTTATCTTTCAGATGATGGATGCCATCAAAGGAACAATGACTGAAATATATAATGATCTTTCAAAAAATACTACTGGAAGTACAATAGCTGAGGTTAGTGTAACATTAAAAAAAAAGTTTGCATTTTAACTTCTGAAAGTTGCAAATTAGTATTTTTATTTATATATATAAATGAAAGTGCCACATAACTATATCTGCAAAGTATTATATATGGAGACTGGCAAGAGATCCTAATTTCTGTGATGTTTTAGAAGTGATGATTAGGGTGGTAGAGAAAGACACTGAAAAAATACCAGATTCCAGTCAGAAATTTAAAACTTGGCGGTTTCAGAGGAAGCAAGAGCAAGTTTAATAGAAGTTCTTTTTGTTTTCAAACAATCCTGTGCTCTTCATGATAAGCAGATCTAGCAGACAAATATTCAGAATACTTCAGACTTTTGTTTGGGGCTTATTATGGTCTTGTCCTCATGTTAATGTGAAGGAGCCTTGATGTAAGTGATGATCAGGCTCATTTTTTTGGGCATGGGTTTTTGTATAATTATTATTATTGTGTAATTATTATACACCCTCTTTATCACTACTGACTATTAAATTTTTAATGTTTAGATTCGGCGTTTGAGGATTGAGATAGAAAAACTTCAATGGCTACATCAACAGGAACTCTCAGAAATGAAGCATAACCTAGGTATGGAAATGACAGTCCAAAACAGTGTCAGGTTTTGTCCTACACAGAAAGTGGAAATGCTTGAACTATGTATTACCTTCATCACATGATGCTACAAATTGTTGACAGAACAGAAAACCATTTGTACTGTTCTGTGCTGATGTTAGTGCACACTTTTGGAGTCTGAACCCAAAGTTACTTTATCTGTGCATGAGCAGGAACAGCTGTTCAGCCCTCTGAGACAAATTCAGGCTAAGCTGTTGATGGGCAGAATGACTATTTTATGCATCAGTGGATAATCCCTCTTCTTGAGATATTTTATATTGGTTATTTTGTACTAATTCTCATAGGAACCAGATTCTCTTAATATAGCCAATTTATAGACTGTAGCTGGCATTTTTTTTCCTATCAGCTGTTGGTGTACAGGCTTTATTTATTTAGAGTGAACAGACAACCCTGATTCAATCTTGGTGCCAGACTGTCAGTGGAATGAGGTCAAAATGCTCCCTTAAACAGATAAAAGAATATTCCTCCTAGGAATCTCTACATTCACTCAGCCATATTGGCAGGAAATGAAACTCTGTTTAAAATGTGATTCTTCTTAAATTATCTTTTTCAACGCACTGACAGTGGGAAGAAGGTTGCAGTTGTGTGATGAAGTCTCATTTAACCTACACACAGTCCAAGCAGCCTTAGTGTCCTCATCCACTTTTAGAGTCTCCTTTTTGCAGAGCACATCTGGAAGTGCATTAAGGGTTGATTAACTCCATACTCAGACTCGTGTCTCTGGTTCATTAGTAACATTTTGCTCTTTCAAATCAGGGTAGACCAGTTTTTCCACTGCTGCAGTCCAGTGATAACATTCTTCAGACTCACTTGGGTATGGCAACAACTCATCTGCTGTTCACAGAGCTGAATGTCTAAGTGTGCTCAGAAATAAAAGGAAAATTCTTGAAACACTTTGCCACCAGTCTGAAGCTACTGATTTAAGTAAAAAACTTTATTGGTGTTTGGAAAGTTTGTCAACTGGAGAGTTTTTCAGAAGACTCCAAGATTCACCCCGAGTCAAGGTGGCTGGAGCTGGAATGCTTTATTTGTATTTGCCCACTTTCTTGAGGATTCTGTTAAGGCATTTCATTCCAAGTCTCCCACAGTGACTGAGATATCAATTTATAACTGCATCAGTAGTGGGTGGCTCTCAGAGCAATCCTGAAGTAAGGCTCAAATTTACCACTTTATTCACGTAGCCATGAGTTTTTACATCTTTGTTGGTGTCCCTCTTGGAACTTTCACATTTTTTTGTAAAGAAACCAAGATATAATGACCATATGAGACAGGAGAATAAATATAATTTTCTGAATATCGGAACAGAACAAGTCTAGACTTGTAAAGACAAAGTATGTTAGCAGCTGCATATGTCCTTTTTGTGTTTATGCTGGATTCTGGTCCCTTGTGGGACATGTAGAACTGAAGTGTTAAACAAATGGAAGGTAATGGTTAGGGGTAAAAACCTTGGTGCCAGAATAAGAAAAGAAGATGGAAGTCTTGCATTTGTTGAGTAGGTATGAAACAGAGGTGCCCAGACTCGGGGGATATTTTGATTATCAGTTGTAATTTCATGTTGTGTTTAAATTCATGAATATTACTGGTTTGCACTTTGCTGTGGGTGCAAAATGCAAACCCACCTTTCTCTGGATTTGGAGCAGAACTGACAATGGCTGAAATGCGTCAGAGCCTGGAGCAGGAACGAGATCGTTTGATTGCTGAGGTGAAGAAGCAGCTGGAACTGGAAAAGCAACAAGCAGTGGATGAAACCAAGAAGAAGCAGTGGTGTGCCAACTGCAAGAAAGAGGCCATCTTCTACTGCTGTTGGAATACCAGCTACTGTGACTACCCCTGCCAACAGGCTCACTGGCCTGAGCACATGAAATCGTGCACGCAGTCAGGTAACGGTGCTCTGGGCTGCCTGTGTCCCACTGAGGGGTTTGGGGTGGGTGGGTGGGTACACAGGGACCCCTTTCTTCATGTGCAGATGTGCCTGTGAGGAGGGACTGGACTGGTTCACAGGAGTTGTGGCTACTTTCTCTTTTTTTTTTCCCCTTTATTTTAGCTACTGCGACACAGCAAGAAACAGATACTGAAATTAGCACAGAAACACTAAATAAATCATCCCAGCCCAGTTCAAGTGTGCAGTCTACACCCACAGAAACAGCCAGCACCCCTAAGGAAAAGGAAGGTTCAGCTGATAAAAGCAAAGAGAGCGTTACAGTGAGTATCATCACTTCAAACAAAAATAATGTGTAAGATTTCTCTGAAACCTCCCCCTGAAGGCTTCCCTGGATAAGCCAGGATTTTATGACCATTTGCATATTTCAAAGAGTGTGTTTGGGGAATCAGAGAGAGTTGTGGTTTTTATTCTTCGTCTTGTCAAAAAAAAAAAAAAATCTCCTTCTGTCCTCTGAGAACACCCTTTCCCCTTCACTTATTCCCAGTAGAACCTTGTGTTGGCTTGACTCATCCTTCCAGCCAAAGGGGACTGGACCTCTTTCTCTCTCTCTCTCCAGGACCCATCAGTGTAGCTTCTGGTCTGGATCTTTCGATACAAGTTGCCTTCTGATAAGCAATACTGACTGCAGCACTTCCAAGCCCTTCTTGCCTGGGGGTTCAGAGGCCAAGCTCAAGACCTGCATTCAAATCAACTTACTTTATCACCACAGACTGTCATTAGGGTACCACAATGTTCCATGACACTGATACAACAGTTCACCTGGATCTACGGTTAACGGAGCAGTTCCGAAATCCTCCATAGCATCTACTCTGATAGTATTCAGTAGGCAAGGATGAGCAAATGCTCTAATAAAAGGGACTTAACATTGCATATATAGAAAATGTTTATAGAGAAGATTCTGCTTTATAGGTAGGGCTTGAACTATTAGCAATTTCGGCATCATTTTTTTTTTTCTCCCCTTGCAAGATTTATTAAATGAAAAATTTTAGTGGGGAGGGGGGGCTGATCCTTCAAACCCTTACACATGATCCTGCACATCAGTAGGAGCCTTGTTGTATTTTAAAATATTAAAGGCAAACTAATTTTGTAGTATTGTGATTCCAGCATGATGTCTCATTGAGATAGTCCTGTAGAATTGGGAAGCATAGTAATCTAGAGAGCTGTGTTCATTTCTTGACACTTTTGCTACTGTCTGGTGTTAGATCTCTGGGCTTGACATGTCACCTAAGGGAGTAACTTGGGGAAACAGATTTGAAGAGGGGGAAAAAGGATGTGCTGTTCCACTTGAATACTTTGATGAAGTTGGTTAAACTCTGGCTCATTCAGTTGATGTTTGTTTGCATTGTTCTGGTGGCACAAGCTTTATATTACCGGGGAAATAGGGAATGTGAGACCTAAAGCTTGCCAGGGAATATTCCAGTTATACAAATCTGGAATTTCACATAGGTGTTCTGCCTGAAACATCATGCTGTATACATGGATCATGTTCACAATTTGAATTTTGTTTTATTAACAAAGAAGTAACCTGTGAATTCATTGAGATGCAGATTTTTAACACAAAGAAAACATCCAACATAAATTTCCTATCGTAGTAACAACAACTAGGTGGAATTTATGTAAAAGCTGAGGCTTCTACTGAGGTTGCCCGTGCTGTCTCTGCAGATAGCAACAGGTGTGACAAGCAACCAGCCTATAAAACTGGTCCAGGTACCACAGACCACCACCTATATTCCAGCTACTCAACCCACAATTGTAAGTACAACATCATAATTTAAAGTCTGCAGCAGCGCCGTGCCTGGCATTAAAACTGCTCAGTATCTCTGGGGGGTTGTCTCTGTCTGCTCTTCTATCAAGAGATGAATTCACTGGTAGAGTCTCGACTTGCAGTGCAAAATGTCTTCTTTTGCTGTGCAACATTCCACCCCTTCATTCCATTCATGATTGCAAGGATCCAGAAGCTGTTAAGTCTAGTGAAGGCACTGAGGACAGGCAGATGCCATTTCACATTATTGGTTCATTTCATGTATATACTTGACCACAACATCAATGTAAATATATAGAATTCATTTTAAATATCTTTTAAATATCTTTTTGTCTATGGTATCCTAAAGAGATTTAATTATTTCTGAGCTATGCTTGATATTCCTGTGACATCTCAGTACCTATAAAAGAGAATATGCATTTGTCAGCAGTGTCTCTGCCATGGAGTCTTGCACATTAGTGTTACAGAATGATGAGAAATTGCATTGGAATCAGACCTTTTTTTTTCCCATCAAAGGCTTAAGGACAGCTGAATTCCCTAGTGTCAGTCAAAGGAGATGGGACAGAAGTAAGTTTGATTTTTGTATTTAATGCACCATAAGAGCCCATTATTTCAGCTGGTTGTGCTCTGCAGGGCTCACATCAGTCAGTGTGGCCCCTGAGCTGGCACTGCCCTGGTCCCAGCGCTGCCTCAGGTGGGGTTCAGCAGGGGAGCCCACGTGTGGGTAACTTCAGTTCATTTCTGACTTCAATCAGATAATTTATAACAATAACTATGTACTGTTTTAACAGTTTAACAGTATTTCAACAGTGTACCCTAAGCACACTGTGACTGGGAGGCCTGATGTGCTGTCCAAGTCCCTCTGTCTGTCTCTCTCCTTGTGCACCCCCCACCAGCTGCAGGACACACCCGTGTGTGTGTCAGTGAATACACCACATGCACGAGGACAGAGAGTGTTTCACAGCCATCATATTCCACACAAACTTAGTGGGGATCGTGCTCTTAGTGGGGATCATCACATCCCACATTCCTCACAGCATTTTAACTCCACTCCCTTGGTCTCAACTGAGAGCACTGTGCACCTTTGCAGCATTGGCCCTGAGTTGCTTGGACTGAATTACCATTAACAAGGTTTTATATGTGTTTAAAAATCCAACAGCAGACATCAAAGGCGTTAGGCTTTTTTTTTGTGAAGAGCTGTGAGGCTGTAAGATCCTAAGGTGGTTTTGTGTAATCAGAAAAATGGCAGTTACTTTCATAGGTTTTCTGTAACACAAAGTGTACTGAAGTTATGTAAAGCAGAATTGGAAGGTCTGAAAGGTTTCCAACTTTATTTGTGCATGTTTATAACTTTGTACACATTTGCATTAGTCTTGCACAGCTACAGACACCTCTGTATTCTAATGACTGCACGTGCAATTTAAATGATTTTAAACCTTAGTGCATGTTTAATATGTATGCAAAATGTACATATGTGTAAAACTGGCAGAGGTGGAAAATTTACCTCTCAGGGAATGATCTTAACACATTTAAGGAGTCTCGCACATTCCATATTCCGATCGCGCTAAGAACTGAAACTTAATTATTTTCATGTGTGTAAGTGTGTATATTTAAAAGGCGACTGTGGCAACCTTAATTTCCCCACCTCTAGTACTGACAGTGACTTACATAATGGCTTCTTTAGGGTTCAGTTTGCACTTTGTGTCCAACTAGGAATTCCTTCCTCTGAACAACTCCCAGTGTATCTTCTGGGTACCATTTCCATGGCACCCTGTACACGCATCTGAAATCATTACAAAATGGCAGTTATCTGGAATTCATTCAGAAAATTGGTTCCATGTTTGGTTTTGATTCTTCCTGCAGTTAAAATAATGTAAAAATATGAATCCATCATCTTTGCATTCCAGGGGATGGAACGAGTAGGCTTCTGGAAGGCACAGACTCTGTCTTTGTGGAATACTATTAAGACACTCGTGTGGTTTCTTGAATCAGTGTGGGGAAACATTGGGCTTCACTGAACTTGTATTTCTTCTTCCGTGTTCTCTTTGGAATGTCACACTACCACTGGGGGAAGATCTGTGCATCCCTTTCAGGTTCCTCAAAGTCTCACTCCCTGTCTCTTCCACAAGATGTTGTGAACTGAAATGGATGCGTTTGTTTGATCACCAGTTGTGCATCACTGGAATTGTATTGGAACATCCTTGCAGTTTGTATGGTAGAGACATTTCTAGACTTTCTCACGTTTTTGGAGGAAGGTTAAGATACAGACTTAAGGTTCAATAAATCCTTTTACAGATCTTCCAGAGTGATGTGACCTTGACCAGATTGTTTAACATTCTTGTGCCTTTGTCTCTGCATCTGTAGAATCAATTACCACCTATAGAGATGTCCTGAAACTCCATTTGTCGAGATGTATAAATCATGATCTGTATGATGGAAGTGAAAAGTTTATTCTATATTAATATTTTTACAGGGTGTGTAAGACAGTTCCCAGTAATGCTGATGTTTTTGCTATTGATTTGTGCAAAAGTTAACTTAAGTACTTTTTTTGTTCAGATGGATGTTCTTTGTTCTCTTCTGTGTAGACTGAATGCATGGGGGAAATAGTTCCTTTTGGGGAAAAAGATTTAAGTAATGTGTAACAAGAATATACTTATAAACAAGGGTATTTTTGTACTCCAGTTTGATTTGTCAAAAACTTTTTCAAATGACAAAGGATTTTCTTAGCCCTTTTTCCTCTTCCCATGTATTAGTTTGCAGAAAATAGGTAACTGGATGTAATTCTGAGACCCTCACTCTCCAAGCACAGACAGTGTGTACAGTCCCTATAGCACCTCCTGTCCCTGTAATTCTGTAGCAGTAACGAGAACACAGAAAAACTCTTGGCTATAGGGAAGTTAAAACACTACTTTGTCCCCTGGAACGAGGTAATACTGCGGTTATAAAGGTATTAGTTCCTGCACAAAATTGGCACTTGTTCTGGATTTCCCCTGGAAGATGAATCTCTATTTCTGTGGTCATGTTTATGTGACCTTTAACATAACAATCTGTTTCTCTTGGTTTTAATCCACAGACCATTCCTGTAGTGGTAAGTCCTTCTGCTGGGACAGTGGCAATGAGAACTGGAGTTCAGTATGTTCAGACCACAATGCCAGTCCAAGTACGAAGAGTCTAACTGCTAACAAGAAGTCCAAACAATTGTTGGAATAAATAAGTCTAATAGAAATGTGAAAAATAAACACAGTTCTTTGGATTAACCTCAAAGGTTCAGACTTTAGCTTTGTGTATGTGTACAAAGCATTAATTACACTACATTAATGTAAAGCATTAGTGCTGGCTTAGAAAAGCTGAGGACAGGTAAGATCCATATTAAATCTATGCTTCTTTTGTAAATAATGTACAATTTGTGGATGTCATTAGAGTACCATCTCCTTTTTATATTTGTATTGACTTTAACTTATAAAGAGTGTCTGAAGTTGGAAAGGGAAGGTTTAAAACAGCCTTATCACAACCTAATGCTGAAAACTGGTCTTGGGAAACTGCAGTTATGCATCAAATAATACTAAGAATCTGAACATCTGTCTTTGCATTTGGATTGAAAAAAATTTCTGCACTTTGAAACTCTTGTAGAGTTTCTTTGAACAACCAAGTGATGAAGGATGATACCTTTTTTCAGTTGACTGCATCAGGCAAATTATGACATTTCCAATCTGTGGATCTGAAACACAAAGATTTACGTTGTTTTTTTCATAATGACCAGACTAACAAAAATTTCATTTAGTCTAAGATCAGAAAAGTTGGAAAGCGTAATAGCAGCTGGTTGTAGAACGGTTTCTGATCACTGATATCGAAGACTGAGGAAAGTAAAATTTGTTCCTGTGCTTCTTTTTTTTTAAAAAAATTCTCCCAAAGGACTTTGAACAAGAATTAGGTGTGGAGAAAAACACGGATCAGGAAACACGGGCAAAGGACTTTTGATGCTGGGCCAGAGCATGTGTTATTTATATGATGGAATTTCTGTTTTTCTGTAAGCATGAAGCAGTGCAGTACGAGAGGAGCTCCCCCTGCAGATGCTGTCTGTTACACTGAGACTGTAGTCCCATTTTGTATGTTGTGTAAAACGAAAGCATTGAACAAAGCAAAGGTGATGTATGTATATGAGAAAATTAACTGTATGATATCATTCCAGTACATTCTGTTGTACATTTTAGTCATGTTGATTTCTCCCATTGTTTATATAAGAATGCGGTTTGTACAGTCTCCAGCTAGTCCCCAGATTAGAGGGAAAAAAGTATTAGAAGGAAAAAAAAAAAAAGGCAAGAACAGAATATTCATTAATTGCAGTTGTGTCAAAACTAGCCTAGCTGGCCTTATTTGTGAAGCATAATTGCTTTTAGCATATGGAAGTATTTTTTCACATTTTCTTTGTATAAAATTTGTATTAAACTTAAATATCTTTTTTGACAATTGTGTTTCTTTGTGACTAAGACAGGTGACACACACGATATGCTTTGGGTTTCTCCAATTTTTCAAGAAACTTCACAATTTTTTTATTAAACTGTTTTAGAAAAATGCTCTGTGTTCCTGGATTTCCAGTTTTGGTTCAATCTGGAGGAATGTTCACTTCTGCACAGTCTCCAGATCACAGGTAACTTCACTTACATTAGCATCTTCTGTCTCAGAACACCTGCCAAATTTGAGATAAAACAAAGCAGTGCTGACATTCTGTAAATAAGAAGCCATTTATGTGTAAAACTCAACAGGAGATGTTTTCTCTCAGTTTTAACAGCAGCAAAGGTCCATCAGTTGTTGAGTAGCATTTCTTCACTGGCTGGACTGATAACACGTCATTGTTAGGTGGATTTGTGGGTTAGAAATGGGGATTGTTGTAGCCCTCTCACAGGGCAGGAATTGGGCAAGACTTCTGTGTGTGTGTCTTAATTAGAAGTTAGAAGAAACAGGGAGCTGTAAAAGAGCTGACTAAAATCTTACTGAGAATATTGTGTGAAGTTCCTACTCCTGTAGTTAACCTTGTTCCAGGCATTTGTGAAGCAACCAAAGTTAATGTTCCCAGTGCTACTGTGTTTGCAGAATGGCACAGATCTTGAAATGATGTTTTGGCCTTCCCTGTGGAATTTGGATGCTGGTATCACTGAAATGAGCCCTTGTGCAAGGAGGAAAAGGAAAGAGATGAACAAGACATAAATTGCTGTTGGAAACCCCACTGCTTTCTGACACCTTCCTATTTGTCACAGTCTTTCTTACAGCAGGAAAACCATGAGGAAAAAAATTCCACCACATTTGCTGCTCAGCAGGCCCTGAGAACAGGAACACCTCTGCTAGAAAAGTCACATTTTGGATGGAGTTGTGCTCTTTACAAATCCCCCAAAGCAGGTAGAGAGAGGGGTTTGGTCGTGTGGCTGTCGACACACGGGGCTGACGTGTCACAGCTGCCATGTGGCTGCTGCCTTCTGAGCCAAAGACTGAGACTGGATTAATTTAAGATCAGATTTTCTGCTTTAGTTTGGCAGAAAATCCCCTCTCAGATCCAGCACTGTTTTCTCTGAATGTTTGTAGAGATTAGGAGTATCCCTCAGGCTTGGGTAGCACTTGTGTCATATCTGTAACTCGTTTGATCTTATTAGATGAGGGCATTGTAGCACTTGCTACATCTCTACCACCTGGTTCCAGGGTGGCTTTGATCCTTCTGAGGTTGTCTGGTGCCACAGTGAGCAAGAATCAGCAGTTTTCAAAGTGAATGAGAGAGTCATCCAGGCCCAGAGAATTTAAATGTTTTGGCAGCAAGATTAACAGCCCAGCCTTGAAAGGGGGAGTACATATTCCACACATACCTCTAGATCCAGCAGTGGTGGCAGAAAAGGCAGGTCATCTAGTCCCCCAAAATGTAAACATGTTTTTATTTAATGCCTTTCACTCATCACAAGGTACTTTTTCCCCGACCCCAAGACAGCAGTATAAGGCACCATGTAGACATGTGCACAGTGCTCATACCATCTGGGCAAGGTTCAAAAACACAGCTACAGTTCTTACCAACAGTACCATGTGTCCTGACTACTCATGTACACAATATGATTCTTCCCCAGAGTTGGTTCTGGAGAAACGAACTATTAATTTAGAACAGTAAGACTTTCCCCACCCACCCACCCACCCCAAAAAGCCAGATTAAAAACACAGGTACAGAGCTTAATACCAGAGTAATGAGATTAGTTCATAAATTAAAAAAATAGCAAAAAAAAAAAAAAAATCAACAGTTTCACTCTTATTTTCAGAAGGTCCCGTGTGATGTGACGGACTGTGCAGAGACTCCTTGCTGTGTCCTCTTCCCTTTCAAAACCAAGAAAGCTGACAGGGACACCCAGACTTGTAGCATTTGTTGTTGATGGCAAAAAGGCCATTAGAACTCTGTGCCTCCAACTTAGCCAGCAACTGCAGCATCCCCAGCGACTGATCAGAAGGTTTTTCCTCTGTCCAAAGGAAGGAGGACTTGAGACAATGTTCTTTGGCTGCAAGTTCTTAAAGGCTTCCACTGAAAGGGTTCTCCTTCAAAAAAAAGAAAAACTGCAGTTGCTGTGGGATTATTTTTTTACTGAGAAAATGATGAGGAATAGGTGGAACCGCTGCAATAGTCTGAGTGAAGCCCTCCCAGTGCTAAGATGTTGGGGTCTGCTACAAATATTCAAGTTCCAAGGCGTGCCGAAGAGCTTCCAGGTCAGCGTGACAAGAGATTCTCCAGAATGGCATGTTGTGCTAGAGTGAAACCAAAAGAGGGGAATTTTTTTTTTTGTTTTGTTTTTGTATAATACTGAGATGAAAACAACTTTCTTAGTTTGCACCCTCAGGAACAGAGCTTTGTGCTTGGCCCCCAGGCTGTCACGGCGCCACAGGCAAGGGGGCTCATCTGAGAGGGGAGGGACAGGGGGAGGGAGTGGGAAGTGTCTCTTTGCTGAGCTGTGTCTCCTCTGCAGACAGGAAGACATATTCACAATTTAGGAGTCTCCTGCCTCACAAATGATGGAGGATGTGGGCTCACTTTCTGAATGTTCTGAGAGCACTTAGTCCCTTTCAGCATGGGAATAACACTCCTAAGAGTCTTTCAGCACTAAGAATTCACCTGTAACCACGCTGCTTCTGGATAAACAGCTTCCACAAAGCTTCAGAGAACATATACTTCCTAGATAGATGACTGATGGAGATGCTCCTTTTCCAATTGTACCTACCTGTGTACAAAAAAACCTCCAATGGTTCCAGATGTTTATGTTACAGAGGGTCTATATTTACACTCCTCTAATGTTTAAATAAGCTTCCCTCTGGTATGTTGGTATCAGTAAACAAATGTTTCCTTCAAGCTATTTATCAGCGTGTTTAGAGAGAGCAAGCAAACCCAGACAGCTGAAAGCCACTGCTCTGCAATTTTACTTTAAGGGGAAAAGTTATTTCCTTCTCCCTCCCCTGGTTGCTATTAAGCTCCTTCCATTAAATTATCTATTTTTCTTTCTTAAACCAGAAGAAAACTTGGCCTCCCAGCCACTCCTGTTGTCCAGCAATTACAGATTTATCACTCATCAGACAGGTGAAGTAAAATGACCCACAAAAGTGGAGATATTATCAGTGCTGTCAGCAAAACAGGGAAAGGCCTCTGCCTGTCCCCTCCCTTCCTTGTTTGTTTTTTTTTTTCCTGTATAAAACTCAGGTGTGTAGAAGCTTTGATTAATGAGTGTCATCAATCAAAGGAGGAGACAGCCCAGCAAAGAATGTGCTCTACTAATGGGAGAGTTCTTAGCCAAGAGACAGGAGCAAGAGGCTCTTGGAATCCTGGCACAGGAGACTGGTGAACCTTCCACTTGCCCATGGAGGCAGAGAGCCCCTGCAGCCTTTGATGGAGTCCTGCTCACTGACCCACTGCCTTTGAAGTGTGGCACTGAGCTGTCACAAGCAGCAGGCCATTATCACTTCAGCCCAGTAGTGCATTTTGGACTCTCCCCTGACAGCTCCTTAACCCTTCATGAACTACAGAACCACCTGCAATTTTAGGCAGTTTTCCACGGTGGCTCCAGATGTTGTTGCTTCCATTGGCCAGGGGAAATACACTATGAAAAACAGGGTTTCTGCTGCATTGGAGGCAACCTGGGGATAGAACATGTGCCCATCACCTTATTTGCTGGGATCCCTTTGTTCCTGGGCTTTTGCAACCAAAAAGCTCAAATCTGCTTGGAAAGCCTTTGCAGGATCTTCAGTCAGAATGTGATACCAGGTCCTCCAGCACAAGGTTCAGCTGTATAAGCTGAGTTCCTATAATATTTTGCACATCACGTGAGCTACACCATTAAAAATCAACTAGTTTGCTGAAGATGGGGCTCAGTTCCTGCATCCAGTCAGTTCCTGCATCCCAGCTCTCATGCAATGCTCCCAAAGCAAACACAGCTCTATCACATTTCAGGAGCACAGGACCCAGGATGCACAAAGACATCTTGCAAATAATGTTTGCCATTAACAAATTGTGTTCCTGTCCCTGTAAAGCCAAATAAGTGGCATTCACAGACTGTACCTTTTTTGCTCCTTGTTCCTCTTCAACACCATCTCCTATTACAATGTACACGGCTTTCCTTCCGAACCTCTGCATTATCCTTTCAAAGCAGCTCTCTTTCCCTAAGCAACACAAGACAAGACACATTTTTTGATCTGCACACATACTGCAGGCAGAGCTGACATTCAGGAGCTGGACCTGGAGTTGTGACCTAACTGCTACATTCCATGTTTTCTTTTGAAATTGGAATGTAGCTGAATCTCCTCCTGAGGTGGACTCTCTCCATGTCATGACAGTTAACTCGCATGTTCTTTATCAGCCAAGCACCTCCAAGTGCTGCCAGTTTTCCATGAACTTTGTGACTTTGATGTAAGAGGATCCAGACAGTGTTTCTGTAACAGGTACAACCAGACTTCTTCGAGCTGGGTGCAGCTGAACATCCCACATGCAGTCAATGCTCCATAGGGTGGGTGTGTATCTGTATATCAGGCTCACTCCTCCCTGGAGACACCTGGAATTATTTTTTTTCTAGTCTGTACTAGCCAAAGTGTAGGAGTCAGGATGTGAATTAGACACCTGTAAATATGGAGCTGAAACTAAACCTCACACATTGCTAGCTGTGATCAGGTTGGGTGGCTGTGCCTGACTTAGGGACAGAATTTCAGCCTGTCTTTGGTGAAGCCTAAGTCAGTTTACTCTTACCTGTTTTTGTTGCACTGTAAATGTTTTCAATGGGGAAGACAGTGCCCAGTCCATAGAGAAGCACTTTAGCAAGAGCTGGTATAAGCTGAGTTGTGGTGACCAACACATTCACACAGTTGGGCCTGGAAAACAAAAGTTATTAGAAGTGGCAATCTGTGTTTCTCTCTTTCACTCTGGATTGAAAGATGGTAGGAAGCAAACCTTTCCTGCCA